TACATGGTACAGATTGGAAATATTTACCCAATAGCGTATAACACAATTAAAGAGGGAGAAAAGCCTCAATATAGTATATGTTCCTTTCTTTTATCTCCTTGTAAAGTTTGCAATCACATGGGTCTTCAGGGCCATTATCAAATTTTATTCTTATTTCTTATATAGGTTGAGAAAATAATAGACCTTAAATATTCCCAAATGTTTGTAGTTTTGTGAATTCCAATTTTTTTTCAACTACCTCCTCCCCCAGACTGGCATAGATAGGCTGCAGGGATGAGTTCAATGATAGTTTTATCCCTCTCCCCTCAATTGAAACTGCTGCTCCTCACTTGAGAGAATCATTCAGTAGTAGTGTGTCCCCATTTAATTGAAGGCTATCTACATGAAGAGATAGTTCACTTAATTGTAGACCCTTTACAAGTCCTGAAGAGACAACACAGTTGAAACTTGAGAGCACATTTTCACCATACTCTAATAGGTGAGTGAGCTGCCCAGAGTCTGTGGAACCTTCCTTCCCTCTCTATATATAGCAACCTAATAATTTAACAAAATAAAAGAAAATAAGACCTAATCCAAATAATTTATTAGTGTGTGACGTTGTTGCCGAAACGTCACACACTAATAAATTATTTGGATTAGGTCTTATTTTCTTTTATTAAATCTATAATCCAAATTGTGCTTTATCAATTTACCAAAAGTTTTCTCCACAATGCCCACCAATTATAGTAAATATTTCACTAAATTGTGGTAAAGATCTATAGAAATGAAACTTAGTTTATATAGAGATTTGCCACTATGCCAACTAAACACTATCCATTTTGGGAGATTCCATGAATTCCTATGAAACACATGAAATCAAAGCCACCCTAGACTAATGAAAGCCATAGCCTCCTGGTGGCTTGTCTCCAACCTGACTCTGCTAGATTGTTTTGATTGGAAGAAATCTCTTCTTTTTAATGAAGCAATGGGGGTCGGTGGAAGGCTGGTTAAACCGTTTGGTTTTGACCACTACGACCCGGGTTCGATTCCCGCATTGGACACTTTTTCTGTTAAAAAAAAAAATGCTCCAATGGCCCCCGATTCTTGCAAAAGTCCAACCCTACCAGCGAGTGCAAGTAACCAAACGGGGCTCTGGCACATTTGTAAGTGCAAAGTCGAACTGCTTTTCACATGTGTAGACATGTGGTGCACTTACAGTAAAAAGCAGTCGCTAACTACCCACCATGAATATCATGGCCTGTACCACGTGTACTAGGGATAAGCAAAAAAAAAAATGAAGCAATTTTCGAAGGGATCCATTCTCTATGTCTTCAAAGGAAGCAATAAATCCCTTCAAGATTGTAAATTATACCAGTCAATAATGAATGTGCATTTCTAGAATTGTTTGGCTGTAAGGAGCTGACCCAAGTTGTGTGCAGTGAGGTGGAAAGTCCGGAGAGTCCTGCCAAGGTAAGTCCTCACTCCACATTATTTCCTAAGCAGAATGTGTTCTTTATTCAAAATTAGAAAATTTTAAAGATTCAAAGGCTTGTGTCCTTTTGTTCATAGTTTGTTTAAATACCTCTACTAGGAATTCCTCTAAAGGACTGGATATGTAAACAGAACAACCCAATATTCAATATTAGAGCAGTTTGGTGGATTAAATTGGTGAAACCACTGTGAGGGTTCATCACTGATGAGCCAGGCCCTCCCAATATTTTTACCATTGTAGTAAGCACAGTAGAAAGTTTGTTTTATTTGAAAAATTATTTGCATAATATATACATATGTATATAGATAATATTTGTATTAAAATAATTTAAGTTTATAATTACATGTATTGCTGTAATGCACCTTATTCAAAATTCTATGCAAAAGCACTCACAGCCCTTGACAAAGGAATCTGTTGTTGTGAATGTAGGATCAGTTGTTTACTTGGCTTTGTGTCTCCAGGAATCCAACAGTCAACACCACCAGGGGAACAGTCACAAGTCTGAAGTACAATCAGGTAAATGTCAAGGAATGGTTGAACCTCAGTGAAGCCAGTTGGGCTGGCAACAACTTCCTTGGAGGATGGTGAACTTTACTTGTGGAAGTTAGACCTGTGCTCGGGGGTCGGTGGAAGGATGGTCTAAACCATTGGTTTTCAACCGCTACGACCCGGGATTGAATCCTGCATTGGACACTTTTTTATGATTTTAAAAATAATGCCCCAATGGCCCCCCGATTCTTGCAAAAGTCCAACCCCACCAACGAGTGCAAGTAACCAAACAGAACTCTGGCATATTTGTAAGTGCAAAAGTCGAACTGCTTTTCACATGTGTAGACATGTGGTGCACTTACAGTAAAAGTAGTCGCCAAATTCCACCCACCATGATTATCATGGCCTGTACCACATGTACTAGCGATAAGCAAAAAAAGACCTGTGCTCAGCTCTCTTTGAATCTATTTTGTTTATCTCTCTTCCCTAAAAAAAAAAAAAGGCTAAAGATAGAGAATTATAAATTTCAACAAACATAGCCCTCCTAATATTTTTCATCACAGTAAGGAGTGTAGAAAGTTTGTTTTTCAGTTAGTTGAAACATTTGTGCTTCATGGTTTGATTTCTTATAAATGAATGGTGAGTTATTGTCTTAAGTTTAAACATAACTCTATTGGCACAATCAATTTTAGCTACTGAACAGATGGAAGGACTGAGACCTTGCTTTGGATGTCTTGTTGTCATCACTGCACTGGTGTGTTCAGAAGCCCCCAAGAAGAAGGAAATCCTCCACAGGACACAGTCTCTCTTCTTCCGCACTGTCCCTCTCAATGTGACCAAGAAGGAGGTTGAAGATGTAAGTGGAACAACCAACAGTTCTGTCACTGGCCAGTGTTAACTACATGGTGTGTCCAATAAACTGGGTTGTGGCTGGTGATCAACCTGTTGAAACTTTCACCAAAATAAGCCAGAAATGTCACTTTTTTTCATCTTTCGTTATATTTCAGCCATTAAATTTAGCCACACCACACCAATAAGTTAACTTAGATGTTAGGTAAGGTGTTTGCACTACCAATTATAGTAAGTGTTTCAATGCTGATATTAAACTTGGTTCGTGGGGCTGCTGGTACTAATTAAATAGATATGACTAGGGCAGTATATGACCTCCTATGTGGAACTCAGCTGATGCCCACCTTTAGATATCAAAAATGACATAACCTGACCAACCTCCAATGAGAGACCAACACCTCCAGGAAAGACCAGGGTTGGTTATCCTTATTTTTATAGGGATTCTATTATGGGTTGTTTATCCACGATAATAGTAGTAGTTTTATTATTGTATAAACACAGAGACTTTGAACACCTGTTGTAAGTTTAGTAAATAACCCTGCGAACATCCTCATTCTTGTATCAACCTGTCCCCTATTAGTGAGTACATCCTAACAGGGCTAGTAAAGTCTATATTCACTTTCTCTGACAGCACATATGTGGTGTACTCTTGCAGTAAAAGGCAGTCCCCGCCATGTGACCTGTACAATGTGTGCTTGGGTAACAAACAATGTGATCCTGTATTAATGTCTCAGACTAAGTCGCAGCAAGTCAATTAGTGTTGAAGTTCCTAAATAATGGTGCTCTTTATAATATTTTACAATACAAATTGTACACAGTAGAACCTCTATGAGAGGACACTCTTATTAGGAGGCACCTCTCTGAAAAAGACAGTTTCCACTACCAGAATTCCCATTTTTATCAATTAGCTGCTCTCTGGTAAGAGGACACCTCTCCCTAAAGGACACTTTGACTCTACAACTAAGTATCCTACTTTACATAGAGGTTCCTACTGTATGTTGTAATCAATTTGTGCTTCTCTTTTTTTTTACTCTCCAAAAATTGCAGATTGTTTGGAAACTAGTCCTTCCATTTCAAAGATTGACAGTAAGTTCTTGAATAGTTGGGGAAAGCTTTTTACCCATTGTTAAAAATGGTTTCCAAGAGGCATGTAGTTTGTAAGCATTTTTTTTCCATTATTAAACTAAGAAAGGGGGAGTAATCTCTTGAAATATTTTATCCTTCATTTTCTCATATAGGCTTTCAATATCAAATTTACCTTTAGTATGTCTTAAATTGTGCTTTATTTATCTTAACTTCCTGCTTGGAGGTGATTAGATTATTTCCAATTTTACAAAAGTCATTCATTAAATGAATTGCCAATGGGAGATTTTACTGTTTTGAGTTTGTGCTAATACATTGTGTCTGTATTTTAATATATGAATAGAAGAAGTGTGTGTTGGTCATGTTTTGGATGATCAAAGAGATTCATTTTGAACTTCAGCATTGTTATGATGGAAGTGAGGCCAAACTCCTGCTTGTGCAGCTGTGCAAGGAGATGCCTGGGTTCCTCAGAGTCTCCCTCACAGACCCCCAGCCTGACAAGAACTTCATCCGGCGAGGCTGGGTGACTTTCCGTGACTCCACAGACATCAAGAAAGCCTGCATGGACCTGTCCTATGTCAGACTGAGAGAGATGGACCTGGGAGCCATAGTGAACAGGGAACTTGCTCGCCGTGTACGCACTGTGAGTGGTGCACTGAGTGGGGCACTGGAGGCCCATCTTTCCCTGGCCAAGTCCCTTGTTCAGCTATTGGACCAGCTCAGAGGTCTCTCCCACTGTCTCCTGGAGGAGCTGGAGGACGCTCCCCTTCCCCAGGTACTTCCCTCACCACTAATTGCTTCTATGTTGGCTATGGGGGTTCTATTAAATTATGGCATGACAGAAACTCTAAACTATGATTGTAATTTATGGGATATACATCCGATGTGGTAGGTATATTTACAGTAATGGCACTCAATCTCCCTTCTCCTTCCTATTTTAAACATTTATTTCTATAAACAATACTTAAAATTATACCACATAAGTTTCTTTTCTATGAAAAATCAATATTTATTTTAAAGATAAATATTTACTATTTCTAACTTTTTTTGAATGAAGTATGAGAGGGTGAAAATATGAAGAGTAATGGCGAACAGGAAAAATAAAAGTGTCCAGGGGCGGGAATCGAACCCACAACCTTCTGCTTACCGGGCAGGTGCCATGTCCACAAGGCTACCCTGGACGTTATTTCTCTGTTCGTAAATAATACTTAAAGTAACTTTTTAAGTATTGTTTATAATCACACGCCGCAGTCCTTTATAATGTATTTCTATATTCCCCACCCACCTCATCTTAAATTCACCCTGTTCAGTTCAACCAATGAGAGAGACTTTGCTGTCTCTTTCCAGCTGCTCTCTGGTGGTGGCTGACCCCGTGTGATTTTTCCTGTTCTTTTTCCTTTCACATGTGTGGACACATCAAAGGGTCGTTACGACAAAACAATGAAGGGATTGGGTCGAAGTATTAGACTAGGTTGCAAATATGCTCATTTTGTACTCTAATGCTAATATTTTCTGTTTATTTCTCATTTGGGGCTTTTATACATTTAGGGAAGGTATCTGGTATGCCAATCTACAGCTTTATTATGACCCTTTGGTTTCTAGACATAGAATATTGTCTCTCTATCATACATACTTGTACAGCAGTACATATACTGGAACAATACAGAGAAGATTAGCGTGGCCCCTGGATGACACGTTCTGTCTCTCTCTCTAATGATGTGGCCTGGCTCCAGCTAGGGTAAGTTGGTGTAGGCATGTCTCTGCTGCATGGTAGAATAGTAGCCAGTAGTGCCTCTCCTGTGCTGACTATGGTTGGTACAGGCCCTGGACTTACTGCTGCTCTACCTGCGGATTGTCCACTCTGTGGACTTCTACAAACACACAGACTATCAGAAGGAAGATGAGATGCCCTCCAGACTGGGGATTATTCACGTCAGAGACATCAGCCCTGAAGACTCCAAGAATGGTGAGAAGTGGGGTTAAAGCAATTCCTTGTGTTATCCCATCACACACCTATAGACCCAGTAACATAAGGTTACAGGATACAAATTGATAATTTGTGTGACAGCTTTGTGTTACCATCAATTATATAATCAACCATAATTTGGATGATGTGTGGTTTCCTAAATTACAATCCAAATTGAGAGAACCACTGTTCCATTCTATGAGAAGGATTCTCACCTGTATGTAGCAGAGCAATTTTTGATTTATTTTTGTCAAATGTGCTCAATTCCAGTATTTCTACATAGTATATCTATGTCTTTAAAGTGCTTCTATCCATATAGTTCATTTATCGTCAGTACTGGATATAATATTTAAAAAAAGCCAAATACAATTTTGGAGTGAGACTGGTAAATTCAACTGGGGAAACAAACCACTTCATTACTGATGGCTTTCCCATATTTCTGGATAGTTACATTTCTCATGTATAGATAGTGCACTAATGCTTCATACTTATGGTGTGCTTGTGTTATAAGCACTACCCTTAATATATTGAACATTTCAATGATACCTTTGTTTTTTACCTCCTTTTGGATATAGGTTTCCTAACCATATTTTTCTATTTGTACTTTTCAATAAGCTCTAGGGTTAAGGAATAAAAAATAATTAACATATCTCGAATAAAGAAATCTGATATTACTCTATAATGTATTTATTTTTTTTCAGACAACTTGCAGGAAAGACATTGGATTTTTAAAATATTCAGGCTTCACCATTTCATTCCAAAGGCCTCCTCATATGTAGAGATTTGTTAAGTGGCCTTGGGTGGATGTATAACAAAAATACACTCATGGACAAAACTTAAGGAACTTGTACCTTTTTGCCTGCATATCGAAATTCAGACAATAACTCTGAAAGATATTTGATACACAGTGTGACCTTTATTGAAGACATGAGATAACCGATTGTGAACAAAATTGCCTTTGTCTTCTTCAAAGAAATAAACAATTGGCGACATCAAAGACTTTCCACCACTTCCTTAAGTTTGTCCATGAGTGTACAATTGATGTTTAAAAAGATTCATTTCTATTTATATAATACATATTATTTATTTGATATGATTACATATCACACATTCATATTCTATTCATTTCATATAGACTGGCTTCTGGTATTTGTCAACCTTGGACTTGAGGGAAATAGAGAAGGTAGAGTTGACCATTTGGTGAACACACATTACTTGCAATAAGAGGACGTATACCATAATTGCCTGTTAGACTGTGGTGCTTGTAGTAACATTTCTTGTGGAAAATAGACAATTTCAAAAATCCTTGATAAGTTATCCTTTTCATTCAAACTTAAAAAAAAAAAAAAAGGGGGGGGGGGGAGGGGCATCAGTGGTGTAGTGACCAGTGAACCAGTAGTTTCGTTAGTTCAATCTCCAGGTCAGCCGCTCTACTATTGAATTAGACTGATTTTTCTCATATACTCTCTGGATTTGTTATAGAATGCAATAAATGGGTTTTTAAGAGAATTATGGACATATGTTTCTAGGACTGTAGAAATATCTAAAGATTTGAGTGATGCTAAGTTGTTGATGCTAATTGAATGGATCATTTATAAGAGTTCCTTCTAATATATGAAGAGGCATCTAGGTCTTTTCTATGGAATCATGTCTGAGACAACAATTAAGAGGTTTTTTTTTTACCCCCGACTAATCTTGCTATACTGTTGCCTATGTTGTTGGGCACTTCTTTATGTTTAAAAAAAAAATGCTTCAATGGCCCCCGATTCTTGCAAAAGTCCAACCCCACCAGCAAGTGCAAGTAACCAAACAGGGCTCTGGCACATTTGTAAGTGCAAAGTCGAACTGCTTTTCACATGTGTAGACATGTGGTGCACTTACAGTAAAAGCAGTCGCCTACTTCTACCCACCATGATTATCATGGCCTGTACCACATGTACTAGGGATAAGCAAAAAAAATAAATATGGGAGAGATAGCAGCTAATGGTGCTACACAACACTGGAATCTATGAGATACACTTATGGCATCATAGATCTACAAGCAAAATACAAAAATGTCTTTCCCATTTTCAAAAACCCATCAAAATAATGCCTTTATAAGAAATTGAAATTATTTTTGATGCCTATGTTTCACCATTGATGAGCCAGGCCCTCCCATTATTTTATCATTTACAACAAGGACAGTATAAAATTGACGTATTTAAAAAAGAAATATACATGTCAAGAATAGTTTTAATTTCTTATAACAGATGGAGCATCATGTCCTTAGTGTCCAAGCCTGGTAGATCAAAGACTATGTAGATAACAGAGAGAGATGTTGTAGTGCCGTCGTCCCACCTGGAGGAGTTCCAGAAGAAGCACCAGGAGTTTGTCCGTCTCCTCACCCCACTCTCTGAGGAGGAACTTGTCAAGCTGGGGAAGAAGGACATTGAGAAGTGAGTAGTTCCTCGAATACGCTACTAACTTCCCTACTTTTTTTTCTCCTCAAAATTTTTTTGAAAAGAAGCACCCATCATCAGAATTTTAAACAATAGCAATTTTTTAGAATTGCAGATGAAAATTTTTTTTTCAAGAATCCCTATAGCTTCAGTTTTCTCCCTCAGATCACAATCATGGTGGGTAGTTAGCTACTGGTTTTATACGTATTTTCTTTATTTACCTATTTGGGCTTTTAGGAATCTACCAAGATTAATTTGGTGTAAGATTGAATATGTGTCCTTTTATCTGTCCATAGCCCACTGACTCTCCATGTCCATATTTCAAAGCTTCAATTATTTCAGTCCTAGGGGATACTTTGTAGAATCACCCATTACAATTGGATGGAGGTTAGTGAGTTCAAATGGAATCAAACTTGGCTGCTAATGTGGCCTTTGTTGTGATTGAAGGATTTCAATATCTTTGGGTTAAAATATGATCAATAAATTGCCTACTTAAAATAATGCCTCATAAAATACAAATCTATCACTAAAATGTGCTGAATATTTGTTAAAAAACATCCCTCAATATTGAAAATACTCTATTTTAGATCCATGTATGTATGTAGGGGATTAGTAGAACTGCTTTTCATATGTTTAGAAATGTGGTGCACTTACAGTAAAAGCAGTCGTCTACTTCTACCCACCATGATTATCATGACCTGTACCACGTGTACTAGGAATAAGCAAAAAAAAAAGTAGGAGGTAGTAGAGGAGTGGTATAACTGTTGGTTTTCTACAGCCATGACCCAGGATATGAATACCATATTGGGCTTTTTTTTTCTGAAGAAAAAAATTGTTTCAATGGCCCTCAATTTTTGCCAAAATCCAATCTCACCCATGAATGCAAGTAATCAAACTGGGCTCTGGTGCACTTTTGTTAGTGCCAGGGTCAAACTGGTATCTTCATGTGTAGTTATGTGGTGCACTTGCAGTAAAAGCAGTTGCTAACTCACCATGATTATCATGGCCTGTACCATTGAATTATCTCTTGTCATCCACACAAGGGATTAACATCCTATGTTTATCCTTGATTGAAACGTAGGAATACCTCAACATGAATAGGCCATTATGATCAATGTCTTTCTAGATATTTACACAATCTTTACATGTCAACATGGACGTGCATTTTCTTATATCTGCCTTCTGTGTAGTGTTATCTGTTGATTGTCTTGATGCCTTCCCAGTATGTGTACTCCACACTTGCTCACAACTTGGCATTGTCTGTTGGATTGTACTGAGAAGACACTGATGTGTACTGGTAGCAACATGTTCTGCTGCCCCATGTGTACAATGTGTGTGGCACCATTAGGTGTGCTTTGTACTTGTTTTTTTTTTTTGCTTATCCCTAGTACCTGTGGTACAGGCCATGATAATCATGGTGGGTAGTTAGCGACTGCTTTTACTGTAAGCGCACCACATGTCTACACATGTGAAAAGCAGTTTGACTTTACACTTACAAATGTGCCAGAGCCCCGTTTGGTTACTTGCACTCGCTTGTGGGGTTGGACTTTTGCAAGAATCAGGGGCCATTGGAGCATTGTACTTGTAGTTTTAGAATGTGCATTGTGAATAGGTAACTCTATGTTGTATTGGGGTACCTCCTACTACTGACTACTGTACTGATGGATGGATGTGTGTCAGGGAGAAGGAGAAGTTTGTGGAGTCCAACATCCGGCAGGTGGACGGAGAGAAGTGGCTGTGCCTCCTCTCCAAGAAGAAGTTCAAGGCCAAGATATTT